CACTCAAATGTTGTCTTGTCAGAAGTGTCATGATATCTCGTATTTATAGTTATTAAGTTTTTTTAAAAATACCTGACTATTAGAAAGCTCGTGTCTTTTGTAAAAAAAATGGATATACTGTAAATTGATTTGCTAGAGGTTGATTAAAGATACGGAAATTTACATGCTAGGGAAATATTTACAACTAGCGAAAATGATTTACATTTAAGTGAAAAGTTTATAAGTGAGGAAAATGTTCACAATCAATGAAATGTTTACAGTCAAGTGAAATTTTTTTTCTTGGATTTCGGAAAATTAGAAAAAAAAAATCAACATTATTTTCGAATAACTTTAGAAATCGAATGAATAATATAACAGATCTCATAAATAACATTATGTGAAGAATTATGCTAAGAACTATGTGAAAAATTACGTAATTACGTTAAAAAGTTACGTTAAGAAATAATTTGGAGGATTATATTAAGAATTATGTTTTGTTTTTTAACGTTAAAACATTTGAGTTTAAAACATTAACGCACTAAAACACAGAGACCAAACTCGGACTTTCCCTCTCTGCAACACGGTCAGCAACACGGTTTCTGCAACATCGTAGTATTTGCAACAGCAACTGCAATACCGTTACCTTCCTAACTATATTTTATGTGCGCAATATGGGACGTACATTGTGGGATTTAGACAATATTGGGTGTACACAATATGGGACGAACGCAGTATGGGATGTGCACCAAATGAGAGGTGTACAGTATGGGTCGTACACTGTGGGATATAGGCAATATTGCATGTGATATAAACCATGGTAATAAATACCGTCAAGTTGGTTTAGAAAGACACTTAAGAAAACACTGACATTTGTTAGAAAACGTTTCGGTCCTGGGACCTTGATCACTTCTAACATACAGAGGTTGATAGACATTATATATAGGCAGAGAGTGAGGTGTGAGTGGCGCATGGTGATCTGAAGAATGCCATGATGGGATGAAGACGTGTGGATGATGAGATCATGTGACTCCTGTGTTGTTGGGTTGGTGCTGCTTGAGTATCATTTATGCTAAGGTTTTAGAAATTTTGTGGTTTCCAGTGTTACGTTCTATTGTGTCGGTGACGGCGATTAGCGAAGCTTCTATGCACCGTCGGCGTCTGAGGTCTGGTTCGGTGAGAACGAGTTGTGCCTCATCCCAGTTCATCAAATGCCCCGTGGAGGACACATGCGTACCTTACATCGTCTCTGTTACAGGCACTTCGATGCTCGTTCAGACGGACCGCCTGTCTCGCCTACATATTTCTTGGGACAGAATCTACAGGGGATGGTGTAGACGCCTGCTGTGAAAGTTAGAGGTGTGGGGCTGCGTTTCGTAGTGAGGTCTTTGATAGATGATGTGTTAAGGTGGAAACATTGATGTTACTCTTAGCAAGTGCCCGGCAAGTATTTGTGGCAACATCACCACATGGGAGCACTATGAACTGCATCGAGGGCTGTTCCATGGATGGTTTGTTGATACTCAAGCAGCACCAACCCAACAATACAGAGTCACATGATCTCATCGTCTACCCGTCCTCATCCCATCATGGCATTCTTCAGGTCACCATACGTCACTCACGCCTCACTCTCCGCCTATATATGTCTTTCAACCTCTGTATGTTAGAAGTGATCAAGGTCCCAAGACCGAAACGTTTTCTAATAACTATGTCAGTGTTTGCTTACGTGTCTTTCTAAACCAATATTGCATGTGCACAATATGGGACATACACTATATATAAGCCACTATTCATGATGTGCACACACATGATATGTACACAATATGCGATGTACACAACATGCAATGTACATAATGCAGTACTTACAACAAATGCGAAATGTACACAACCAACCTGAAAAAAGCATATGTTTAACAACATATTATTATTATTATTATTATTATAGCCATTAGACACGTCTGAAGGCAAGTCCCGATACGCAAGGTATTTTATACATTACTATCGTCTCGACTGAGATGACAACGAAAACAATTTACAACTTAAAACAAGTAACGCAATACGCAGCAACATGCTGCCAGCCGCACGAAGCATCCGCACCGATGAACCGTAAATTCATTTTTCTGGAGAAATATACATTTTTTTGTTTCAAACTAGAGCCCTTTTTTTTTTGAATTTTTTTTGGGGGAGCTTTGGTAGGAATTGAAGAAAAAAGTCACAATACCCTGGCTGCAACAACTTCACAACAAAACAAATACACAATTCAGAGAGGGAGAGATTTCGACGGTATTTTGGTTTATGGTATAAACCATGGTAATAGATACCGGCAGATTGGTTTAGTAAGACACGTGAGTCAACATTAGGACATTTATTAGAAAACGTTTCCGTCCCAGGACCGAAACGTTTTCTAATATATCCTAGTGTTTGCTTACGTGTCTTTCTAAACTATTTTGGTTTATCACTGACCATCATCAAGTCGCAAATTGATACCGGTCAAGACGGACCGAAAATGTCGTCTGAAACTCTGAACTGTGGATTTGCTGTGAATTGTGCGATTTATTTAAAACAAATTCGTAGAGGAGAGGGGGGGTATGTGCATTGTTCATCTTAATTACTCGTTATTAAACGTTAATTACTTTCAGCATTACGTGGGAGTCATTAGTGCGATGGCGAGGGAGAATGATCTGTCCTTATAACCACAAAAGCGCTAAACCCACAGGGGGTAGCACAGCGCCTGGGGGTGACGGGAGGTAAATAGTACGAGTCACAGAAGGAAATGGTGGCTGCAGTTCCTTGAATCAAAAGCTCCTCGTCAGAGACAAAGCACCTCATTGAAGGGAAGGGCGAATGAGAAAGGAAATGATGGAAGACCTGGGCTGTCAGCAGAATTCTTGGCAGCCTCAAGGTTATCACCAGCCTTCTTGGCAGCTACAAGGCTGTCACCAGCCTTCCTGGCTGGTGACAGCCAGAGACGACAATTCGCAGATTTGCGCTCTGCCAGCCTTCCTGGCAGCCCCCAAGTTGTCACCAATCTTCCTGGCAGCCCCAAGGCTGTCACCAGCCTTCCTGGCAGCCCCAAGGTTGTCACTAGCCTTCCTGGCAGCCTCAAGGTTGTTACCAATCTTCCTGGAAGCCCCAATGTTGTCATCAAGTTTCTGACTACCTCTATGGATCGCCAACACTCTGAACTTAAGTGTGTTACAAATTGTTATTGTTGACTACGAAGTTGATAGATTGATCTAACTAGGTATATACAATGGGTGTATTTCGGCCGCCATTGTTGTTGTAGCTGTTGTTGTTACTGCTGTTATGTTCGCGTACGTTTGTACATGTGTATATTCATCTAAGTATAGTCTAGTACCAGAAGTTCTCTAACACTATATACCTATACCTAGAGAGCATGTAGGGACTGTCTAGTACCAGAAATTTTTTAACACTATGTTTATACCTAGAATTAGAGACCATCTAGGGAAAGTCTAGTGCCAGAAGTTCTCTGCTAGCGTATATACCTAGAACCCGATCCTATCTAGGGACCGTCTAATACCAGGTGTCCGCTAGCATTATGTATCTAGAACTAGATCCCATCTAGGGATCGTCTAGTACCAGAAACACTAACACTATATAACCGGGAGACAAAATTTCCGTCAAAATATTAAACAAGATTTTTTTCCATATTTCTCTCTCCTTTACGATGGTCGTGATTGACAGGCGAAATAGGCCCTAATGGAAGCTGCCGTTAATGTCCCCTCCCTTTACCCCCTAGACTCCCCTCCCTTACCTCAGAGACCCACTTTGCTCCCTCAACCCATCACTCGGTAATGAAAATATTTGGGAGTATGAGAAATGGAATATGAAGGCCCGAGGAGAGTCCCAAGTGGAGGTACTTCAGGTGTGTGCTTAAGAGGATGTTCATGTGTGATGCATTGTCTTGAAAGTCAGTTAAAAGTGTGTTAAAGTTACACTGTGTGTTAGCCTGTGGGCTTCTGCCCCCCCCCCCCCCCCATCATCATCTCTTATCTATGTTAGCTTTTATTCCGACCAACCCATATATATATATATATATATATATATATATATATATATATATATATATATATATATATATATATATATATATATATATATATATATATGCAAAACAACCACTCTGAAAGAATAAGAAATTCAAGCGCTTTCGTGACTACTCACATTGATAATGTGAGTAGTCACGAAAGCGCTTGGAATTTCTTATTCTTTCAGAGTGGTTGTTTTGCATATTCTGAAATCACCTGTTTACTGTGATCTTATTGCATATATTATATATTATATATATATATATATATATATATATAATATATATATTATATTTATAATATATTATAATATATATATATATATATAAATGTAGGGAGGTAACACCTCTAATTTGAATATGTAAAATTGGTCAATTAGCAAGAACTCATTTAAAATTAAGTCCTTTCTAAAATTTTCTTTTACATGTTTAAAGATATATTTTTTCATTTATGTCAATGTAAAAATTAATAATTTTGTACCAAAAGAACCTTAGAAAACTTACGTAACCTGATTATAACAAACGCAATTTAAGTTAATCCAACTAAATATATTTTAGATAAGTTTACAAGAATTTAATAATAAAAAAGAACAACGAAATATGTCTTTTTTGTTAGGTTCAGAATGATTTTTACAAAATTACTGCATAAACAAATTTTCGCTTGCCTTATTCGGCAGGAAGAGCGATGCTATTTAAGCCAAAATCGCAAGTTTTACCTATTCGGCACGACATATCCTGTCTCACTTATTCTCTTTCACTCTTCCTTCACAACCACTCTTATTTCTCGCCCTTAGCTTCCTCAGTGATTGAATAAATCGCAATACGGTTGCAAACAAATCACAAAGCCAACTGACTGTGTGGTTAACGCACCGGCCTCTCAATATTAGGACTCACCTGCCACGGGTTCGATCCCCACCCGTACCGTGGTTTCTTCCTCACTGTCTTCCCTCATCTCTCACTTAATTCTTGTCCTTACCTTAACACGTGTAGGCGTCTCCAAAAGACGCTGGCTGTCCTGTAAAAGAAAAATGACATATTTATAACAATAATATAATGAATAATTTGTAAGAGTCCGTTGCTAGCAGCGACATACCCGCTACCATCCACTATAAGCTTCGTTATTGCTCTCACACACGACTGTAACTTGTATGTTGTGACTCTTACACTCAACCACTGGATTGTGAAGACTACAGTAAGATCGACAGCCTTATTCCAGGTAATGTCTTCAAGCACCCTCCTTCCTGTTACTACAAAAACAATTTTTTTTAACAGCCGATATCTCTCCAACAACAGTCTGAGTGATCAGATATAGCTCTCGTCCCTCTAGGCAATATCAATGCTTCATGTTGGACCTCAGGTTCGAATTCTGTCTTTTCTGTCCTTTTTTTCACATTTTGTATGGTTAAGTTCTATATTATTTAGTTTGTAAGTGCTAGGGTTATTTACATTTCCGGGTTTTAGGATTTAGCATTTATTTACACTGAACTGCGTCTGCCACTTTTCCAAAACAGTATCAAAATCCTCCTGAAGTTCAATAGCTTCTTCACCTCAATCTATTATTTTTGTGTCATCAGTGAATCTGCTCATACCACTTGTTATTACCTCGTCAAGATCATTAATGTAAATTATGAACAACAACGGACCCAAAATCGATCCTTGTGGAATGTCACTTATGACTGGTTTCTATTCTGATTTCACCCCATATATGCAAACTCTCTGCTTCCCGTTGGTCAGCCATGCCCCGATCCATGACAGCCCTTTTTCACCAATATCAAGAATTGCCGCTCTCCTTAGCAATCTTTTGTGTGATACTCTTACTTATCAAAAGTCTTAATGAAATCCAAATAAACAATACAATGATCAACTACCTCAAATACTGTACTGAAGAACCTCAGTAAAATAGTCTCAGGAAGGAACGGCCCCTCGTGAATCCATGTTGAGTATCATGACTCCATTGATGATAATCAAACTGACTCTTTATAACATCGGTTTCAACTTACTCCAATAATTTGCCTACAAATGAGGTCAGGCATACTGGGCGGTAATTTGATGGTAAAGACTTATCTCTTATTCTAAAAGAAAAATGGGAATTACATTAGCCATCTTCCACATCTCAGACATTGCACTTGTTTGAAGAGACACATTAAAAGATCTAATGGTTCAAAAAAATCCATCTTGCACCCATTAAGAACCCTTGATAAAAGTTCAGGTACTTTTTTTTGCAGTAATCGGTCAACCAGTTTGATTACCATATCCTTAGTGACTCTGATATTATATAATTTATTTTCCTCAAGCACACTATAACAATTAATTACTGGATTATAATCAGAGGGTCGAGGAAGGGTTGTTGAGGTGGTTCGGACATGTAGAGAGAATGGAGAGAAGCAGAGTGACTTCAAGAGTGTATCAGTCTGTAGTGGAAGGAAGGCGGGGTAGGGGTCGGCCTAGGAAAGGTTGGAGGGAGGGGGTAAAGGAGGTTTTGTGTGCGAGGGGCTTGGACTTCCAGCAGGCATGCGTGAGCGTGTCTGATAGGAGTGAATGGAGACAAATGGTTTTTAATACTTGACGTGCTGTTGGAGTGTGAGCAAAGTAACATTTATGAAGGGGTTCAGGGAAACCGGCAGGCCGGACTTGAGTCCTGGAGATGGGAAGTACAGTGCCTGCACTCTGAAGGAGGGGTGTTAATGTTGCAGTTTAAAAACTGTAGTGTAAAGCACCCTTCTGGCAAGACAGTGATGGAGTGAATGATGGTGAAAGTTTTTCTTTTTCGGGCCACCCTGCCTTGGTGGGAATCGGCCAGTGTGATAATAAAAAAAATCAAGAGGGAAGCGCTAAACCCGTAGGATTATACAGCTCCTGTAGGGGGGGACGTGGAAGGTACTCAGGCTTAATTCAAGGGACTGGAGCCCAGATCCAATTCCCTAGATCAAGAGCCCCTATCCAGCGTCAAGGAACTTCCTTTGAGGGGTTAATTACTGGGATATCGTTGGTCTCTCCTGAACTGAAGATCGAAAGGAGATAATTTTTAAAAATAGGGTACATTTCTATCTTGTTGTCAAAGTTGTACAAATATGGCTAAGAGGAACGACAGGTATATATATAAATTATATATATTATATATATAAATATATATATATATATATATATATATTATATATATATATATATATATATATATTTATATATATATAATCACTGCGACTAGTCAAGGAGTCGAACCCATGCTGCTTTGGCCTGCCTCATGATGGGCGAAAACATATGACGCCTTAATCCACGGGACCACTCAATCTTTAAAAGTAGTGCATCCAGCAAAACTGGATGTTGTACTCGCTACTCTTAAGAATTGTGTGGTCCCGTGGATTAAGGCGTCATGAGAGTTTTCGCCCACCGTGAGGGAGGCTAAAGCATATGGGCTCGACTCCTTGACTAGTTGCAGTGTTGTTATTGATCAATTACTACTTGATCGTGGGTACAATAATATATATATATATATATATATATATATATATATATTATATATATATATTTATATATATATATATATATAAATCACTGTTTTGTTCCTAGGGTCGTGAAGCAGGCAGCACTGGTGTGCTCCTGGAGGTAATGCAGCAGGTAGCAATCCTTGTTGTGCTCCTGGGCTTGTGAGCAGGCAGCAATCACTTGTATTCCTGTGAGTAGTGTAGCAGGCATCAATCACTGTCGACCTCCTGGGGCCGTAAAGCAGGCAGCATCGTTGCTCCTGGGGGTCGTGTAGGGGGCAGCAATCGTTGTTGCGTTCCTGGGGTCGTGAAGCAGGCAGCAATCATTGTGTTCCTGGGGTCGTGTAGCAGGTAGCAATCACTTATGCTCTTGGGGTCGTGAAGCAGGCAGCATTATTGTGCTCCTGGGGATGTGAAGCAGGCAGCAATCACTGTTGCATTCCTAGGGTTGTGAAACAGGCAGAAATCACTGTTGCATTCCTGGGGTCGTGAAGCAGGCAGCAATCATTGTTGTGCTCCTGATGTCGTGAAGCAGGCAGCATTGTTGTGTTCCTGGGGGTCGTGCAGCGGGCAACATTCGTTGTTGCGTTCTTGGGAGTCGTGTAGCAGGCAGCAATCACTGTCTCACAGTGAGAGACAGCAGGTGACGCCTCAGGGTTGTGGATAGATGTAAGGTGACATCAAATCACCACTTCACACATTTCCTGCACACTGCAATGCGTCAGTTTCTGAACGTTCTCTTGTATGAGAAATATTAAATTCTAAACGATTTTAGGGTGTAGGTTAAATTAAAATTAAATAAATGTGTGTTTCTCTCTCAACTAGAAAAATGGGTGGGGCGTCTGGCAGCGGAGTGGGTATGTCTGGCAGCGGGGTGGCGCATTCAGAATATGAGAACGTTAAAAAAACTACATTTTTAACCGAAAAAGGTATAATTTCTGCAGTACCTAACAATACTAGGTTCACAGGTACTCCAGTACCGAACACCAGGAACACAGGTACTCCCATACCTAACAACCCCAAGAACACATGCCCCCCGTACCTGACAACCCCAGGTACAAAGGTACTCCGGCACCTAACAACGCCAGTAACACAGGCATCCCAATACCTAACACCACGTACACAGGTACTACAGTACCTAACACCAGGTACATAGGCACTCCAGTACCTAACACCAGGTAAGTACACAGGTACACCAACTCCTAACAACCCGGCAACTAACATAGTTACAAAGCACCACAATCTACAGCAGCAATTAGAGAATGAATATTAGAACCAGAGGTTCCATAAACTTATACTTTTCCAAGTTTACTGTAGCGTAAATTTCGAAACTTCTAATGGTCGACATCCCTTTGGAAAGTCTACAGCTGGACGTAAACACAATGCAAATTTAGGATATTAGACCTTTGTGGGGTCGTAACACTGAATGCTGTAGCATTTACACTGGCGTGGGCTGCACAGCAAGCCATTCTGAAGGCGCGCACACACACACACGCACACACAGTAAAGAGGTGGGGCCAGGAGCTAGGACTCGACCCCTGCAGCCTCAACTAGGTGAATACACACACACACACACACACACACAAGGACAGGAAGGCTAGGGAAGACATGATAACGACATACAAAATACTGTGAGGAATTGGCAAAGTGGACTGAAACGGGACACAGAAACAAAGGGTCACAACTGGGAGTTAAAAGACTCAGATGAGTCGAAGGGATGTTAGGAAGTATTTCTTTAGTCACAGATTTGTCAGGAAGTGGAATAGTCTGGCAAGTGACGTAGTGGAGGCAGGAACCGTGCATAGTTTTAAGACGAGGTTTGATAAAGCTCATGGAGCAGGAAGAGAAGACCTAGTAGCGATCACTGAAGAGGCGGGGGCCAGGAGCTATGACTCAACCCCTGCAACCACAAATGGGTGAGTACACACACACATACACACATAACATACAATACACAGGGATGTTAGGAAGTATTTCTTCAGTCATATAGTAGTCAGGAAGTGGAATATTTTGGGAAGCGATATAGTAGAGGCAGGATCCATTCACAGCTTTAAGCAGAGGTATGATAAAGCTAATAGTGCAGGGAGATTGACCCAGTAGCGGCCAGTGAAGAAGCGGGGCCAGGAGCTATGACTCGACCCCTGCAACCACAACTGAGTACACACACACACACACACACACACACACACACACACACACACACACACAATACACACAAAACAAAGAAACACAAAACTCAACAGGTTCAGCGAAAGTCAAGAAGTCTACAACTTGATTAGTCCTGGAACTGAAAGGTCAGCAATAAGGAGATGATAAAACTAGATGCAACTCTTACTTGAAAAGACGCCCTAAACGTCAGCCTTAACTATGACGTTTCGCTCATTGGGAGCTTCATCTAGACATAGAACAAACTCCTCTACAGTAAAACTTGATAAAGCTCCCCCTCGAGTGAAACAATGGGATAATAAGCTGATAATCTTATACACTCAGAACAAGGTTATATTGTGGCAACGTTTCGCTCTGTGTAGAGCTT